TTACCAGCGCAAGACACCATATTGTTCCGATTCATTCGCGATAATATCGACATTGCCATTTATGCCTTCGCAAGTACTCTATAGCAGACGGCATTTTGGTTCGCTTTTAAAAATCTTGCCAACTTCGAAATGAAAATAAACCAACGCAGCCGCGGCAAACCGCTGTTCAGGGCTGCAATATGTAGCCTGGCGGGTAATTCAAATTTTTAATTTTTTTCTTTTATTATGTACAATATGCACTTTAAACATTTTTGTAATTTTGCAAGAAAAACATAAATAAAGTTTAAAACTTATTGGGAAATAGTCCAAATAAGTTAAATAAATCTCTCGAATTCCTGTCTGTCTGTCTGTCTGTCTGTCTGTCTGTCTGTCTGTCTGTCTGTCTGTCTGTCTGTCTGTCTGTCTGTCTGTCTGTCTGTCTGTCTGTCTGTCTGTCTGTCTGTCTGTCTGTCTGTCTGTCTGTCTGTCTGTCTGTCTGTCTGTCTGTCTGTCTGTCTGTCTGTCTGTCTGTCTGTCTGTCTGTCTGTCTGTCTGTCTGTCTGTCTGTCTGTCTGTCTGTCTGTCTGTCTGTCTGTCTGTCTGTCTGTCTGTCTGTCTGTCTGTCTGTCTGTCTGTCTGTCTGTCTGTCTGTCTGTCTGTCTGTCTGTCTGTCTGTCTGTCTGTCTGTCTGTCTGTCTGTCTGTCTGTCTGTCTGTCTGTCTGTCTGTCTGTCTGTCTGTCTGTCTGTCTGTCTGTCTGTCTGTCTGTCTGTCTGTCTGTCTGTCTGTCTGTCTGTCTGTCTGTCTGTCTGTCTGTCTGTCTGTCTGTCTGTCTGTCTGTCTGTCTGTCTGTCTGTCTGTCTGTCTGTCTGTCTGTCTGTCTGTCTGTCTGTCTGTCTGTCTGTCTGTCTGTCTGTCTGTCTGTCTGTCTGTCTGTCTGTCTGTCTGTCTGTCTGTCTGTCTGTCTGTCTGTCTGTCTGTCTGTCTGTCTGTCTGTCTGTCTGTCTGTCTGTCTGTCTGTCTGTCTGTCTGTCTGTCTGTCTGTCTGTCTGTCTGTCTGTCTGTCTGTCTGTCTGTCTGTCTGTCTGTCTGTCTGTCTGTCTGTCTGTCTGTCTGTCTGTCTGTCTGTCTGTCTGTCTGTCTGTCTGTCTGTCTGTCTGTCTGTCTGTCTGTCTGTCTGTCTGTCTGTCTGTCTGTCTGTCTGTCTGTCTGTCTGTCTGTCTGTCTGTCTGTCTGTCTGTCTGTCTGTCTGTCTGTCTGTCTGTCTGTCTGTCTGTCTGTCTGTCTGTCTGTCTGTCTGTCTGTCTGTCTGTCTGTCTGTCTGTCTGTCTGTCTGTCTGTCTGTCTGTCTGTCTGTCTGTCTGTCTGTCTGTCTGTCTGTCTGTCTGTCTGTCTGTCTGTCTGTCTGTCTGTCTGTCTGTCTGTCTGTCTGTCTGTCTGTCTGTCTGTCTGTCTGTCTGTCTGTCTGTCTGTCTGTCTGTCTGTCTGTCTGTCTGTCTGTCTGTCTGTCTGTCTGTCTGTCTGTCTGTCTGTCTGTCTGTCTGTCTGTCTGTCTGTCTGTCTGTCTGTCTGTCTGTCTGTCTGTCTGTCTGTCTGTCTGTCTGTCTGTCTGTCTGTCCGTATGAATGCTGACATTTCGGAAACTATAAAAGCTAGAAGATTGGCATTTCGCATGCAGATTCTAGGAGCTCCCACGCAGCGCAAGTTTGTTTCAAAAAGGTGCCACGCCCCCTCTAACGCCCACAGTTTTAAAGCTATTATGAAAATAGTAACTGATATGTGTTCGCTTCGTCAATACCTATCGATTGGCCAAGTAAAAAATTGTCACGCCCACTCTAACGCCCACAAACCCAATAAACGCTTTAACCTGGCCAGCGCCTACATTTCCGCCTTTCATGACCAGTAGTACCATTATCAGGCGGTAGATGGCGCAATACAATATACACTAGCGCCATCTAGGAAATGGCATTGGAAAAAATCTGCCTTTTTTTCTGTGGTCACTCTAATTCACATTATACTCTTTTTGATCATTTAAACTTTTAATCAAAATAAGCGATTTACCAGCGCTGCCATCACGTTGAAGCACTAGCAGGCTTTCACAGCTGATAACTTAACAGTGATGCGCACTGTTAATAACATTTGACATTCATGTTATCCTAATACATTGTGATTGACAAATAAAATTTCTAACGACTTTTTAAAAGTAGGTTTTGGCCAAAAAAAGTGGTAAAATTACCCATTGTGCACTGGTGGGGGAAAACTGCAGAGTAGTCTGGCCAATTATTCCGCAAGGAATCAAAAAAGCTCGAAGGAACAAAATGAAAGGGAATTCCTGTAATAAGGAAAACAACCTTCACGTTTGAGTTCTGTATAAAAACTGATTTTATTTCAATAAGTCTTTGCTTACGTAACTAACATGAAATTCTTACAATATACTTATCAATGGTCTACGCAGAGATCACATCTGTTTGCCTGAGCGGGAGCCTTATCAACGGTCTCCTGCAAGGCGACCCTTTGTGCAGTGTGAGAACTATATTTATAGTCAGGCTCAAGTGGCCTGTACTTCAGATTACAAGTGTTAGCACTGCACCCTTGTAGAGTTTATGTTACAGATCGTTATTTACGGCTCTAGATCATCTAACATATTGACATGTACTGAACTCGTAAAGTATTAGATTTATTATTTGCATTTAACAGTTCCATATGGGCAACATGTTGCTACTTAAAAAAAAATTGCAACTTTTTATTTTGTTAAAATGTTGCAGAGCTATTATACGTGTTACTAAAGTTCGTACTGTAAAGTTTGGTTAAATTATTTTAGCCTTATTCACTTCTTTTTAAAAGAAACATAGTTTTTATGTATCTTGTTCTGTGCGAATTATATGACAAAGTGGTTAGAGTTAAATTAAATTCTGCAGAAATTTAGCCAAATTACAACTGTTAAAAAATGTATACATTTTTAAAAAAATCTTAGAAATATGTTGCACGTATAGAGTATTTTATTAAATTATGTTTTTAGTTGGAAAGGCTGTAAGGCCCATAAAAATTTCGAATTCTCTGGTAATATATGCATGGTGTATTTTGGAATCTGTGCAACACTTTTACCTTTAAATTGTAGTGGTAACGAAAATTCCTCCACTTCTTTGGCACGGAGTGTAAAGAAGCTTTATTCTCGAGCATATTGAAACAATTCTAAAGGACTGGATAAGTGCTTTCTCTTTGATAGCAAAATTTTTTGTAAATGATATAAATATTATTAAATAAGGTTTATGAAAAGCAAGGTCTCGACGTTTTTTGTAGCCTCAGATAAAACAATAAGCTTCACAAACAAATTATGAAAAATTGTTTTCTAATAATAAAAAATTTAAATTACGGACGCGACAGAGTTTAAAATTTCTTTAAAAATATTAATGCGCTAAGTTTTTGGCAAAATATTTTAATTAATTTGTTGCAAATATCCTTGCTTTAGGCATAAAAGCTGGTTTATGTTTGTCGCGAATTGGACGCGTAAAAAGAAAAAATGAGGTTTTTTGATTACGGACGCGACATTAAAAATGTTTAAAAACAAACTTCAATAAAAACACCTAATCCATTATTTAATGGATTACAAATATTTTTAAAAAATTTTAAATTTAAAATTAAGTGTTTTTTAAGAAAATTTTAAATTAATAAAGTTCTATACGCCGGCGATTTCCGAAAATAAAATAATTATCCTCATGTTGCTTCATCAATTCTTCACGAAGTGGAAAAATAAAATTTTTGTATTTGTAACCAGGGTTCGTAAATATCACTCATTTGAAATATCCCTCAAAAACAAGCCGACTATGATGAAAATAAATAAATATCAATCACGATACAAACAAATTGTCATCTTTGCTCATTCAAATACATATCGCTCACTGATCGAAAAATATTGATCATGAGTGAGGAAAATAAAATGATGAAAAAGTGAGGGAAAAAATATCCCTCACGAGTGATGAAATGATCATTGACAATATCGTCAAAGACAAATAGCACAACAACTCAAGCGTGTTCGATCTATAATGGGCAGAAATAAAGTATTTAATCGGTGGTAGACTTAACAGAAGATACAAAAGATGTAACCTGCGTATACAAACTTATAAATTGCAATTAAGTCTAGATAATAGAAAAAATTACTTTAATCAAACTTGGTGTTATTAGCATTATTTTGGTTCAAATTTTCCTCATTTTTTCCTGACAAAATGTCAAAAATGAGGAAAATGTTTTGAGGAGAAAGCAGTATAAAGCAGTTGTGATTTTTGACAGACAAATATTCATCAGCCCTGCTTGGTTACTCCTCATTTTATTGTGACAAATATCACCGCCCTATGTTGAAATTGTTTTGTTTGAGCAAAATGACAGATTTTTTTTTTTAAGTTTTTGGGGTTTAGTTGACTTTTTCCTGGAATTGCCCATATGGGCCGTTCTTTTACAAACCAAACAGATTTGGCCAAAAAAAAATGTCACATATTTAATTGGCCTGAAACTTTTTTTACACGTACTATTCGGAAAATAAGTAAACACGTGTATCAGGAAATTTTTTTTTTAGTTAGAATAGAATAGTTCGAATATTTTTAAGTTTGCCAAAAATTGTCAAATTTGAAAAAATACCCTCTCATTGAAAATCTGTATCTCCGGTTATATGAATCCGATTGACTTCATGACTTTTCATGTTTTTCGACTTTCATAGATTTCATTGTTTTTAATAAAATTGTATTATTGGCAATTATTTGTAAGTTTATTTATTGCAAGTTTATTATTGTATTAGAAACCGTCAAAAAAGACGTCTGTGAGACCAAGATTTGCTTTTCGGGGGAAATTTGGTTGAGAGGGGTTTATGTGACACCCCCGCATATGTCAAAAGATATAATTTATTTCCAACAAAAAGTCTCTTTTAAACCTTAGCCAAACGCCAAATCCTTGAAATTAACTGTTTGGACAACCTTAAATGTATTTTTGTAATTGAATCAAACTAACAATATATTTTTATTTCGGTTTCAGAGCTCTCAATTATTAATCAAAAATCACTTAAAATTGATCAAGAGTTGGAATTATCACAAGGAAAATCTAAGGACTTAGCGCTATTTATTAAAAAATTTACATCAAAACTGGAACTACTTAATGAAAAAATATATAAGAAAAGGATTCACCATGATTTGGAGGAAACTGAATTTGAGCACGAGCAGACTGAGCAAACCCAAAAACTTAAGGTATTATTAAGGTCACAGACACATAATATTATATAATATCCATTATTTTATTTAAGGCTGCAGAGCTTGGCGTATTAAAGTTGGAAGGAACAATTAATGAGCTGCAAAACGAAATTGAACATCAAAAAGATTTGGTTGTAGATAACCATAGAGAAACATTATCGTGGGAAACTAAATATAAATTACTCGAGGAAACTATTCAATGGTCAAAATTGGAGCGATCTCTAAAGGGTGAAATCGGTTTGATGAAAACTGAAATACATCGCATGAATATAAGATATGGTCAACTAAAGAGAGCACAGGAAAGTCTTGTTCTAGATTTAGAACATTGTGTTATGCACAGGGAACAAATTTTTGTCAATGCATCAGTCAAAGAGCATTTGCAAAATAAAATTAAAAAAATAAAAAATACTTCTCAGATTCAGGTCAGACTTGATGAAGTACATAATAGAAAAAAACTAATAAGTAATGAAATAAAGTTTTTATCAGAAAAACATTTAATCGATAATGTCAATAAAATTGAACGCATGATTTATATGCTACGCAGAATTCAAACGGATCTTAATGAAATTACAAAGGATGATGCTAACATTCAAGACCGAATCGAAGAAGGAATTTTAGCAAAACATGCCAATTTGGAGCAAATTATAAGGAAACAGATGAGAGCAAAAGCTTATCAAAGACTTAATTTATTAAAATCACAGCAGAAAATAGTTCGATCTGAGGTGATAGTTCAACAGACCTCACTAAAGCAAAGCGAGCTTAATGACAGTCTAACGGAAATAGCCCAAAATCTATTATTAAATTTTCCTGATAACAAAACTTTTTTTACAAAAGTACTTCATGTTTTAAAAGACTAACGCTTTAAAAAAATAGTTGTATTCCTTATAAGTTTAAAAGCTACGTCATTAACAAGTTTAAATATAGTACTACTGGGAAATATTCACTGAATAAAATATAAGCAAGGTAAAACTCTACAGTCGTTACTCTGTTGACCAATTTCAAAATAAATATACCACCAGATTCATTACTGCACAAAATCATAAACTTCCTTTTAATTTAATAAAGAAAATAAATATATTGGGGCCCCCGCCGGGGGGGGTTTTTTTGTTTTTTTCACCCCCGGCCGCCTTTTTTTTTTTTTTTTTTTTTTTTTTTTTTTTTTTTTTTTTTTTTTTTTTTAAAATTTTTTTTTTTTTTTTTTTTTTTTTTTTTTTTTTTTTTTGGGGGGGTCTTTTTTTTTTCTTATAGAGTTTTTTTTCTGGGATAAAGAAGGGGGGCCCTGACCAGAAAAAAGGGGCATATAGAAAGGGGGAGGAGAGTAACAGACCCTAACGTCAACCTGCTTTGGGGCATCTCCCAGATTCGCCATGGGTTACCGCCAGAGCTATGGCGGCATAGTCGGTCTTTCCGATTTCGACCATCGTACTGAGCAGAAGTATTTCTTTCAAGTGTCCTCCAAAATTATAATTAAAAGAAAAGTGTACGAAAGTAAAAGTTCGGCGCAGCCATCAAAAATTAGCTCAGCGCTAAGTCCAATTGGGTGAGTTGGGAAGTTGAAGAATAATCCGGTTGGATTTCTGATGAGGGAAATTTGTTTTTTTGATATAGGCTTGGCGCTTTACAAATCATTTTTAAAGTTACAAGATCGGATCTAGAGGCACAAGAGAAAAGAGAGGGACGATAAAGCGAAAGAGGGAAATATTGGCGGACCTGACCTACCGCATCGTCGGCGGGAACGAGTGGAACTGGAATTGAGCGGAATTGGCGTTTATTAGTTCTGAGCGCATCAGTAATCGCGCTGCTGCCCAAGAGGGCGCTCAAAAAACCCGAACGAGTGGGTTTTGTGTGTCGCCGGAAAAGAATCGCTGCCAGAGAAATATCGTTTTTGTGTGTGTGGTGAAAAGCGGGAAAAACCCGCGGGAAAAAAGTATAACCTCCATCTGCGTCCCATTTTTTTGCCTTCTTCATCGTCAAAAGATAGGAAAATTAAAGTTAACCTAAAAGAAAAGTAATTTTAACCTAAAAGTAAAGTAATTCTAATGCCTTAAAAAGTAAAGTAATTCTAATGCCTTAAAAAGTAAAGTAATTCCATGCAGTAAATTAAAGCTATTCTGTTAATTGGAAGTAGTTCAAATAAGCAAAGTAAAAATAGCATTAAGTAAAAATATATAAGTTAAATTATGTAATCTCCTCCAAATAATGGCGTGCGAAAGAAATAACGATGATGAAAGACGGCAATAAGGCAGAACGGAGAAGATTTGAGTGATTTTCTGGCCGGCGATTCGGGGCAATTTTTTTTCATGTGAAATTAAGTGAAAAAAACATTTTTTTAGAACCCCTTTACAGCGTTTCAGGACCACCTCTCGGAAAGCGCTTTCTACGAGGGAGTCAAGAATTGGTAAGCGAAAGACTTTCGTTTATGTAAACTTTTAAATCCCAAAGAAAAATTAGAAAAAGAAGAAGGGGATAAATAAAAAAAAAAGCAAAAAGATGCAGAAAGAAATTAGTGCCCGAGAAATTCGTTGGTGTTAACGTAAATTTAAAACTAAATGATTAAAGAATAAGGAACCTATTCCTTGTTTGCGCTCAAATCGCTCAGTTTCGTGGCTTTTGTATTTTTGCCAAAATTTTCTAATTTAATGCGGTAAAGTCGCAATCGTGTCATGAGGAATGGCTGATTATCTGCTTATTTGCTTATTGATTGCTTGAAAATTTGATTATCTTTACATTTGTTTTATCTTTAAAAGCATCCGAATTTATTCTAAGTTTTATATGCATGTATTCGAAACCTCATTTTTATCATATTATATTTTTTGTCCCATGATATTCTATATTTTATATTTTAGATTTTAAATAAACCTTTTATAATGTTGTAAGTCTAAGTATTCGACACGGCTAACTTACTCTTTTTAACCCACTAATGCCCAAAAGGGTCGCTCGGTAAATTAAATGATCTTGACAAGAGCGATCACAGGAAGGGAGGGTCATTTGTACCTCAATACCATCGGAGGTTAACAGGCATTAAGGGATTCGACTTGGAGGCAAAAATCATTATTACACTCTATTCTGGATTTTCTTTAATTTTCCCCGTTCTATCGGCTAATGCCTATTTTTTGATTGCTATTCCTTTCTCTCCAACTGTTATTGGCTGATTAATTAGGCATGCAACACAATCTTCCCATAATGATTATTAAAGGCGAATTTTAGGAAAGAGTAGCAAGACCACCACGACCATTTGCCGTCGAGCCAGAGCCAGGATAAATTTAATTGTTGCATGCGCACTCTTTTCAAAGCTATCACCATCGCCAGGGTATGCTAATAAAGGCAGTTTTTGTTTGTTAGTATAATTAAATAATTATTAATCGTTACAGAAGTGGCGCCCAACTTTAAGAGCCTCGTTAATACGTAGCTCACAAATAGCAATTTAAAAGAATTAGCCAAGATTGATAAGTCAGGGTGACGTAGGGTTAAGGCGAGGGATTTTTACTCGATTAACTACTGTTGGAGTTTCACTCGACTTCTCACTCAAAGCACGCTCTCACTTCGCTCACGTTTAACTCAAACGCATCGGAAACAGACACCGAATTTTAGATAGTTGGTCATCTGTCCACGGTTGAGGGAAATACTTAGGCGAAAAATTTAGATTTTCTACAATGTCAAAATCCATAGGTTGGGTCATTTAGGCGCATAGGACATGCAGGCAATAGAGGTTTTAAAACTGATTGCCTGACCACGAATAAATGACATCGACAATTACAAACTCAAAACCATATTTTTATTTCCCGTTTCGCATTGCTAAACGCTTGGGATTGCAGTGTGAATTTTATTAATTAAATCCACTGACCGCGTTGGACGGTGAAATGAATAGGTCTGAATTGCAGGGTATTAAGCGACCGCTCGGATTTCAGCGAGGCAATTGCGATTGCAGCCGCTGACCGCGAATCGCTCACGTTGTTGTTGTCGAGGGACAAGAAACAGCACCGTGCGCTCTCTTCGCCGTTATCTTTTTTTCCTTTTCTTTTGCACGCCAAGTTTAGTTCCTCACTTGGGTGAGAGAGGAGTTATGCCAATTGTCGAAAATTTATATGTATTTGTTGTTATTATTGGAATTTGCATTTACTTTTATTTGTGTAGGTTCTTTTGAGTTGATGAGTTTTTAATTTGAGAGCGCTCGAGGAAGAGTTTGAGTTTAGAAGCGCTCTTGAGTAAGAACCTAACAAAAGGGAAATTCTCTCTTAAATTGGAGAAGAACTTTAATTACTTTTCAGTGCGTTTGCATGGAGAGGCATATCAGCTGATCGCATGGTGAGGTCGATGACCTGCGGTAGCTGGAATTTTGATAAGGAAATTAAAACAAAAATAAAATAAATCACAAATAAAATAAAATAACATAAAATAAAATAAATAAAATAAAATAAAAATAAAATAAAAAAAATATAAGATAAAATAAAATAAATTAAAATAAAAATAAGATAAAATTAAAATAAAATAAAATAAAAATAAAATAAAATAAAATAAAATAAAAAATAAAAATAAATAAAAAATAAAATAAAATAAAATAAAATAAAATAAAATAAAAAAAAATAAACTAAAATAAAATAAAAATAAAATAAAATTATTAAATTATTGGTTCTCTTTGATAATTTCGTAAATTTTCGTTAGATTTTAAACAAAATTTTTGTTAAATGGACCAGGCTGAAGGTAATGATCCGGCAAATTGCCATTTGTGCGGAAAGAAGTTAGACATAGCCAAGGTTTATAAAACTAAATGTGGGCATGAATTCCACGAAGCCTGTTTGGCTAATCATGCTAAAACCAAAAACACCTGTCCGATTTGTCCAACCGTCTGTTTTAGTACTCCAGCCACACCCTCTCAAAATACTAGGAAGAAGTCCCAGCAAATCGTGGAGGCAGGAGAGTCTACGCCAAGAAGAGAGGAGCCAAGCATCAATCAAATGGATTTGATCGAAAGCTCTATTAAAACGGCTATTCAGGGGATGGAAAAGGATTTATTGGACAAATTGTCTGAAAAAATGGGTCAATTAATTCAAGAGAATCTCTTGGCAAGGCTCCCACCGCCAGTTGATAATTTGAGAGAGCCTGTTTTGCCATCGAATGGTAGAAACGAGTCTTTTGGTCACATACCGGATCCAGCAAGGTCAGGGCAGCTAACTGCAAGAAGCGGGACGTCTGATCTAATTAACAGGCCTGACAAAATAGGGCAGATATTGAACAGTTGGAAGTTGAGATTCAATGGTAGTTCTGAGGGTCTTAGTGTAGACAATTTCATATATCGGGCGGAAGCTCTTACGTACCAAACTCTGGAAGGAAACTTCGACATTTTGAGTAGCAACGCCAGCATTCTATTCGACGGGAAGGCTCGCGAATTCTATTGGCGTTTCCATAAAAATTCTTTGGATCGTAGCTGGAACATACTCTGCGCCGCTCTGCGAAGGCAATTCAGAGACGCACGGACGGACATTGATATAAGAGAGGCTATAAGGGATCGGAAGCAGAAGGACCGGGAAAATTTTGACTCTTTTTATGATGCCGTAGTGGACTTAATGGATAATTTGGATATGCCTCTTACCGAGCTAGAAATTGTTGAAACCCTGCGCAGAAATCTAAGGCCAGAAATTCGGCATGAGCTGCTCAATGTTCCCATTCTGTCAGTGGCAAAGCTTCGGGAGGTCTGTCGCAGGAGAGAAAATTTCCTTGAGGAAGTGCGGAAAAACCAGCCTTACCAGAGAACTGTCCCATTTAGAAAGCAAGTGGCCGAATTGACAGGAGATATTCCGATGGAAAATGCATTGGAGTTCACAGAAGAAGAAATAAGTAGAGAAGTAGGTGCCGTAGCACTCATCTGTTTCAATTGTCGAAAGGAAGGGCATCGGCACAAGGATTGCGCGGAACAGCGCAAAGTGTTCTGTCACGGTTGTGGGGCTCCGAATACTTATAGGCATACTTGTAGTAGATGCCAAAAAAACGGGCGGACGAGCATAGGTCACTCCCGGCAGTCGT